GCGCTGCCACGCGGCCCCTCCTGCTGCGCCGCCTGCCCCCTGCCGGGAGGGCTCTGCTCCGGTCAGTGGGGAGAGAAGGACGAGGACTGCCCTGCTGGGCTTGCTGCAGGGTGCTCCTGTCCTCCACGCCACCGCCCCCTACAGGGTGGCCGGAGCAGGGGAGGGGGGAAAAAAAAAACACACATCTGTGCCACCCTAGGATTGGGCGGAATGCCGCCTCGTTCAATCTGCCACCCCAAGCACCAGCTTGCTCGTCTGGTGCCTGGAGCCAGCCCTGGGGACAACTCATGGGCATTTGCTGGAATAGTATCACCCACTACTCTACTGCCTTTCAGACAAGGATCAGAGCACCTTACAACTATAATTAACCTTCAGCCTACCTGGGGAGGGGGGTGAAATATAGGAATATGAGCAACCTCTAGCCTGCAATGCAGCAGCTGTAGTGAATGCACTATACCAGTTTAAGGTAGGAAGGTAAAGAGTGTCCATCTGAAACAAAAGAGGGAATTTAGCCAGGCAGAATACAGTTACCTGAATTGGAGTTTCACTGTGTTTAAACACCCACATCTTTAAACACTATGATTATTCAGCCCCTCTTATGCAGAAGACTCCATCCTAGACCACAGCTCCGTGAGCCATGCTAAGAGGAGCACACCTACTGGATCCAGGGCACCACAGAGGTACTCTGAGGCCATGGTGATAAGCGTGGTATTAACACACCTAAATAAAACAGAACTTCCTACACCACCAACCTGCTTCTTGGAAGTCTCCCATCAAGTCCTGACTCAGCCCAGCCAGGCTTAGCTGCAGGAGGCAGTGTGGCCCAGTGCATCAGGCAATGGACCGAGTCAGGAGACCTGGGTTCTATTCCTGGCTTGGCCGGGTGACTTGGATAAATTACTTCCCCTCTTTGGGTCCAAATCCCCATCTGTCAAATACAGATTTTCCTTTGTACGGGGCGTGAGATCTCTGGCCAAAGTGTTATACATAAGAGGTAGCAGTGTTAACATGTGAGATCACCGCAACAGTGGTGTGGCTGGAGGTCATGTGATATGGAAAGGGAATTCCTACCCCAAAAATACCATTCTGAGGAACAAACCCTTGAGCAAACACAGACAGGATTTTCCTCTCCAAGCCTTATATGCCAATGACTAGAAACCCACTGATCCTCAGATGCACCACAGTGAATCGGATTTGAATAAAGACACCAGAGCCAAATGACTGTCATTTAATTTTTAACTTTTTTTTTAAAGATGACTTCCAATTTACATTAAGACAGTTCTAACAAATTCATTCCTTGTTCACAAAAAAGAGAAATTATATTAAATAATTTCTGCCAATAAATAACATTTTTCACCATTTTTCTTTAAACATAACTAAAAAAAGCAAGAAAAAAGGAGGCAGTCTCCAGGCAACGGGCATATGCTCCTTCAGCGGCGAGAACCTAAGTCATCATCACCATATCCAACACATGTTCTTAGGGGCTTTACGGTCCTTTGGGTCTGAGGCAGACAAGCCTCCGAGCTGCTCCGTTACAAGAATCTAGCTAGGTAAGATTTACCCAAGTGTGGTGGTGTGCCAAGAAAGGCCCTTAAAAATAGGTGTGTGGGATGGCATCACAGTAAAAGGTTCTCCCAAAACAAGGTAAATGCACCTTTGTTCCCAATGCTAAAATATCCCATTGCTGACTCCCTCCTTGTTACATGCACCTTGCTATAACATGCAAAAATAAGACAGGCTGCTAGGGACAGCCTTGTGGAGAAAGGAGTGCAGTGGCACTGCCCTTAATAGTCTGGAGTTCCATGGACTGATTGTACTCCTTGGCTTTTGTGTTTATTCTTTTTTTTTTTTCCTTTTTCTTTTTCTTTTTTTTTTTTGCAAAGTCTCATTTGTCAAGCTTCTGCAGCTGGCTGGCAAGAGGGGATGGAAACAGAGGACGGAATGGAGCTCTGAGATGAAGCCTCTTCAGACATGCATAGTTCCAAAGCAGAACCAGTGCTGGGTTTCTGGGAGATGGGATGGGAAGTTGGAAGAGGAGAAACTACTTCAACTCTCTGCAATACTTTTGCACTGGGAGCAGGGGGAATATTTAAGCCCCTCCCTCTCTCAGACATGGCTTTGAAGGCCACAGTTCTTTACACTCGTCTGTTACAGTGCAGAAGTGCAGGAGCCCCTCTCGCACCAAATGCTGTGCTTGTGGCATGATGCTTTGCTGGGAATGAGCTCTACTTTCTTTCCAGAGCTGCCCAGCACTCAAAGCCTATGCTTAGAGGTCTCTCTCCCCCTCCTTCCTTGGGATACAAAGAACAGAAGTGAAGGGGACTGTGAGGTTTAAATGCTTAGCACTGAAGGTTGGTTCATATATTGTGTTTATATTTTAAAAGCAAAAATCCTGGCCGCCCCGACTCCGATTGAAGGTGGAATCTCAACATGCCCAAGATAACTGCAGCTGGTGATGGTACACTCCTCCCCTACTGTCAATGCACGATTACCACCGCTCAGACACTGCTACCCATTTACAGCACCACTCGGCGCAACAGGAGCTAGTTAACCTCTGAATTAAAGAGGAAAAGCCAGGACACGGAAGGTTACAAGATGAACATCAATTAAGGGGGTAATTAACACCCACTCTCCCCAATCTGTGCTGCTGCTCACCCCCTCGCCCCATTAAGAACACTGCATACTGTGCTGAAAAAACACAGACCCTGGCACCAACGTTCCCATAGCAACTGGAGACTGTGCTTCGCCTGACAGCATCCTATCTGCATGTGCTTGTGTGGGATATGGAATACGTTTCCAGCAGCTCTCAGCTTGATAGAATAAGGAGGGGAAGACCCGATAGCTCCTGCATGGGGAAGCCATGAGTCATCCAGAGAGCTCCTTCCGCCCACAACACACTGGGCTAGCGACTGCTGTCAGAGCCGCTCAGTACTGCTCATTCGAGCTGATTGTGACTAATGTGAGAGCTGGGCTCCTCCCCATCGGAGACAGCCTCATTGACTGACAATTAGCAGATGACTTGGGACTCCTGTTTAAGGAACACCCAACAATTAACATGCTTAAAAACAAGCCCCCTCTGGCTCAATGTATTGCTAAGTCACAAGCCAATCAGAATTTAGGAAGCCAGCTGTCACCCCCCCGTTATGCCCCCTGATTAGTTGAGGATGGATAATTTTGGCAGGCATGCAGCTCCAGTAACTATGGTTTCGAAGCTCCATGCTTTGCAAACACCACTTAAGCAATGCTATGGTGAGCCTCCAGCTTTGAAACAGAAACTAATCTTTCTTTGAGGAGTAAGGGCAAAGAGGGTCACAGCAGAAGCTGGTAGGGCTGAACTGCAACCTGCTTTAAAAAACAAAAACAAAGAAACAAAAAACCACACCTCAGAACAGGACAGCGTTTCATGAACAAACGCCTTTTCTTTTCAAGAAAGCCAACACCAGCAACCTGGAATCCATGAGCAAAGCTTCCGTTGCAACTGGGGCAGAAACAACTTTCAGTGTTAAGCTTTCGAAGGGTGATGAGCAGAGGATACCTTTGCAGTGTCTTCTCCCAACATTACTATGGACAGGAGGGCTCCCACCTAGCCAAACACTCCCTTCCCCCCCCCCCCCACCGGTTATTCACTAACCCCTAAGAAGGGACAGATTAATCTCATTCTGGTACCTGTCACATGGCTCTTGAAACAGAGATGCTGCTCAGAGAAGATCTCAGCCAGGTCAGAGTGTGTGCACTACACACTAGGATAGCACACTGCACAACCAGCCAGTTTTAAAAGGAAGATGCAATGTTTAAGTCTATTCCTGCTTTGGAACAGATGCCATAGAAAGAAAAGGGATATCAAGAGGGACCCCTTGCCCCACACAGGAGTAAGAAAAGACAAGCCTTCCAAAAACACTCACTTTCACAAAGCGGCAGTCATGTAAAAAAAAAAATGGTGACACGTGACTTTAAGAGTCCATCGCTAAAACCCCCTTCTGCTCAGATGCAGTGTCCTAAATAACTGGTATGAAATTAAGTTTGTGACATATCATTAGAAGTGACAATTTAAAGGATTCCTGTGAGGCAGCTGCCTTCCTCTGGGACTGGAATCAAAGACTATGCCCACAGCATGAAGGGAAGATAGTAACATCAAGGGGCTTCAAGACAAAATAAAGAACAGGGTGCATGGATCACCTAGAGGGTAGAGTTTAACCCTGCTCATCTGCTTGGTGGCAGTAGATGTTGTCATACATTTGTTCAAGTGGGAAGGGGAGCGAAAAGCAGCCAAGGCCTAGCATTTGAGTGATGCTGCTTTGATGCAATGTAATAAGCAGGAGGGGATTCAGCTAAAATGACCCATATGGGAAAGGCAGAAAGAGAGGAGTTTGCATTTTGTAAAAATAAGCAACCAGGTTTGGATTTTTCAAGGTCTGTTTCAAAAATGGATTCAGTCAAAGTCTGAATAAGTAAATGAACCAAACTGGGTACTTTGCTTATTTAGATTCCAACTTCAAAACACTTTACAATGTATAGAGGCCATTCTTTTGGCATCCCCAGTGTGCATTTATAGTAGAAACCCACCATCACCTAAAGAAATCTCCTTCCCCCAACTCACTAAAGAGATGTACTATAAAAACAGCCTTCAAGAATCTCTAGCCCAGATCCACTGAGTTCTCCAAGCCACTTTCCTTCTCTAAAAATTACCCTCCTCAGTACAAGCAAAGGAAACAGATGTTTCCAAGAACGTGCGTGTTTCACAAGTCCCTCTCTGCACTGACCATTCAACAGCACAGATATTTAGGGGAAGGGGGCAACGATCAGTATGGATCACCAATCCTTCCCCATCCCATCTATCCACTTATCGGAGGCCAGGTAAATTACTCCCTCTTTCAGATGGAGTCCCTGATGTTCCCTGGATGGCTCACCATCTTCCATGCAGCATACATCGTCCATACCTCCACTAGTCACTAGGTTCTTGCTCACCTAATCCCGTGTGTGTGTGTGTGTGTGTGTGTGTGTGTGTGTGTGTTCTGGTTGCTACTGTCTGTGGCAACACCAACGGCTTGTCAAGACACAGTTAGTGCACGGCAAGCTGGGGTGTAAAGCCTAGTGCACTAATTGGCTACATGGACATTGCTATTGTGCACTAAATGTTCCCTAGTGTGCACTGACCTACTCCTGTTTCAATGGACTACAAATCAAAACGCACAGTGTTCTGTAAAGAGTGTTTAGATGCACTTCAAGTGTTGTTTGTTCTGATGGAACGATGCAAATGGTTTGCTTCAGAGTCTGAAAACCAGAAGCTTTAGAAAGAATGGCGACTAAAGGGGATGCTTTCCCATGCCCACCTTCCAGGTCATTCTAAGAGATTTTTTGTTCTATTGGAATAAATTGGAATCTTGAAGAAAAATGCGCTAGTTTTGGAAAATTCACACCCTTATCCCCAAGAGATAATCCAACACCCCAGCTGGAATCTGAACTATCCACTTTAACGTCACCTAGGATAAAGTCTTCCAAAAAGAGAAGGCTGGGTCTGAGCCAGTCGCTCCATGCAGCATGCCATCTTCCACAAGATCAATTGCTAAAGCAGCGACTGCAGCTAGACAATAAAAGTCGAAGAAAATAACAGCAAACTCCGTGAAGACAGTTGTGAAAACATTTTAAAATGAAAGATGCTGCTTTTGAAAGCACAGGCTAATTTAAAACTGTACCAAAGTCAAGATCAAAGTTGCTTGGGACTCAGTGTGATTTTTTTTTTTTTAAATTCCTCAGAGGTTCCCCTTCTGTGGGGGAGAGGTCAGCTGTACAGCACAACACTTCATATATGCACTAGCAATTAGATTGGTTTCTAAATTAAAAAAAAGATGGACTTTTTATATACTGAACATAAATTAAAAAATTACAAAATGGTCACCTTTCTTACAGAATGGATGCAAACTGGATTATGAACGTGCCTCCAGGTTAAGTTTATTTCTCCCCATCCCTATCCCACCCCAATAATAAATAAATAAAATTCATTAAGTTTTGGATCCTTTAGTGGTGCAGATTGGGCATTAGAACCATTACTAAGCTTTCTTCCCTGTGCCGTTCTTTTCCGCAGAGTTTGTTGAGGTTACCAAGTTCACCGGCCCGTCTGGGTGCATTGAATCTTTGCGCGGCGGCATGCGTTCATTAATGCGGTCCAACCCTCTGGCTTCTTCGAAGCTGCGGATCTTGTGCTGCGGTGAAAATCCACGGATGGCTAGAGCAAGGAGGGCAAAGAAGAGTCAGTCTGTGCCATAGCATACCGAGGAACAGCCTATCAGCATACACCATACTACAGAACCGAGAGTCGTGGCTACAGAGCACATGTCTGGGTAAGAAAAAGTAAGCAGCGGATCTGTGTATGATTTTGTCATTGTCTCATGAACTGACAAAGTTATACTGGTGATATATAGAGTTGCATTATCTTTCATTAAACCAATTTTGAGGGTCCAGTTCAATTTACTCAGCAGCACCAATAAAGCCAGGGCTTATTTGCCTTGTTTTTGCTTATGACTTCCCTCGCGATACTGTTTAGCGGGGGCAACTTGCAGGCCAGACATGTGCCCTGTATTCTGAAGAGTTAATGCAGTGAAATAGCAGCACACTTTCAAAGCTGAAAAACATAATACTAAAAAAACAGTGAGGACAAATCAACAAAGGGCGTTTTACTTCAACACAAAAACCAGGCACTGCAACACCACAAAGAGGAGAAAGAGCTAATCCTTGGATCGGAAAGGAAGCATTTTATCTTGCATGACCAGGAGCTAAACGCATGGGACAGAGCAGATGCGTATGCTTTGTTTCTACTCAGCCTTGCAGTAATTCAAGACCCTTGCAGGGACTGCCCTGCACAAAGCATTTAGCTAGTTTGTTTTACAATAGATTTAAGTAAAAGGTTTTGCTTCAAGCGTTTTTAAAGATTAAATTCTTTCAGATATTGTGATCTCTGAATAGTGTGGTTTTACCCAATGGAAATCTGATGAAATTGTGAAGGAGAATGTAAGTTTCCAAAGCAGTAATTTCATTACTCTGGTATTTAACTGCAGAGAGGGTATTGCCTCTCCACACTGTGCTCACTCCACCCGAAGGGAAGGCAAAGGCTGAGATCAGATCCCAAGGAGCCAGGATAGCAATAAATACAATCAAATATTTCCTATATGGTTTTGGTCAACTGTTCTTGCAGCCTTCAGAAACATATTGTCAAAGGCCTGAGCTGAGCAACAATCCATCCAGTGATGAAGTTTCAGGAATCAACACTAGGACCTTGATGAGACACCAGAATTTTCAGTCTGGGATCCTGCTACAGGAATACAGCAGTCCCAGATGCCCAGTCTTATGAAATTAAGCATCCCAACTCATCTCTGTGACATCAAGGCTGAGACAGATCTGAGATAGCCGAATATTTTATTTATTTTCCCAGAAGGGGCCAATCCTCCCCCATTTTTGGTGATGCAAGAGTAAAAAGCTTTCATACTGCTGATAAAGCTCCTTAAAATTAGCAGACAAACATGATTGAGTCTCTCGCAGGATTCTAGCCATACCTTCCCGTGCCTCTACCGCTTCTACTGTGGCTGTAATACAGGAGGAACAGTGGCATGCAAAAATGAAGACAGAAAAGAGTGAGTGAACTAACATTATTGCTGCCATTACAGAGACCCACAACCTTCCCCGCCCCAGTAAGGACCATGATGAAGATCAGTTGGCAGAGAAGGACTGACAGGAGCTAGAGACAGAAGGGCTGGAAGGGGATTTCACTCAGCTGGGATTTCCAGCTGAGGAGTCAAACTTCAGGCTGTTTGGGAGCCTCCTTCCTCTTAGTGGCATGAACTTCACTATACATGTCAAACTACTGAGTCCAAAACAGAGTAACAAAGCAACTAACAGGGCTGGCCCTTCAGCACCTCCTGGGCCAGGAGCATGTGTCCCCCATGATAGCCATGGGGCTGGTACCTCCTGGACTGAAGTGTGTCCCGTTTCCATTAGTTTGCAAAGCCAACCTTTAATGGGCACCTGCTATCGCCTTCAGCTTAGTGATGCTTTGGGAAGGAGAGTTCCATGGATGGAACTCACTGCCTCATGGAAATTGCAGTGCACAAACCTACCTGTGGCAGAAGTGCCTTTGTCACTTAAAGAAGAAACTGACCTTAATCAACAGGTTGGCATTTGGACAGGAGGGGAAGCAAAGGGGATTGGCTCCTTTTCTGGGAGTGGAGTGCTGAGTAGCACAGTAACTAGGCTGTTCAGCTCCTGATGTCTTGAAGTAGAACGCAACACAGGCAGATATTTCAAACCTACTGGGCTTCAACTCCTCCCACAAAAAGGGTTACTAAGCAACAAGACACCATAAGGTTTCAGCAATGTCATGTCTCCCTCCGCCCCTGGAACTGCTGCGATTGTCAACGTGCTTGTGCTAGTAATCCCTGTCAGAACACCTGGTAGCAGGGCATTCTCAATGGAGGGACCTTAATTGGAATCTACTTCCCCTTTAGGCTTGAAAGTGCCTGAGATTAAATCCTTGTGGCATAATGCACAGGTCATGTGTTCGGGCTTCCAGACAGAGGGTGAGGAAGGGGTAGCGTTGTGCATTAACATCGTAGCTCTGGCTTGAGGATCATTAGTTGACTCTTGTTAATCTCATGTTATTAAAGATCTGTAAAAGGCTCAGAGACGGTGAGAAGGGGAGCAAACCAGCTTCCCCGCCCTGACAATGAGGGTGCAAGATGACCCAATACAACACCGAATGCTCTCAGCTTGGTGTGGCCATTATCTGTGGAATGCATGACAGAACAGGGGGGTTTCCAGAGTGGTCTTTGAAGGAGGTCATTCAGTGCATGTTCCAAGCATTTGGGTAGCATGGAAGGCAGCATGAAGTTAGGAGTGGACAAGAGGGACAAGGAATGACAAGGAGAGAAGCATGGGGAGGGCATAAGAAGCAAGACGGTGCTTAGGAGCGGAGCATGGAGATGCAGGTAGCAGTGGAGTTATGGATTGCCTTGGTGAGAAGCTCAGACTTCATGCAGAAGAGGGGAAGTCAACAGAGACTGAAGGAGAGGAGGGAGAACAGGGTAAGAGCAGCAGGAATGATCTAATCGATCCGCCATCTCTCTCACTATTCTGATTAAACCACAAAGCTCATTATGAAACTGTGTAAAGCTAAAATCCTTCACTTCAGGTCAAAGCGTGGCACTTTGGGATGTGTCTGCATTGCACCTCACCTCTGAGGAGGTGGGGGTTCTGGGGAGAGGAATAACCTAAAAAAAGCAATAGACAGAAGTCTGTGTCCTAAGCTTGTTTGCACCTCTCCCATCTATAACATGTATCATCCTTCAAACTAGAGCTTCATAAAACAATGTTACATGACTAAGCCTGGCTCTAGTCTTTTGTATCCCAAGGTTATCAGAGCACGTTCAAGGTGAACACCTGCTTTCTCACCTACTGACTTTCTATTCTCATGCCCGTAGCTTAATTAGTGTGACAGAAATCACATTGGACAGAGCGTAAAGTAAACTCGCACATCTCCTTGGACAAAGAAAACCTACAAAACTTGGGAAGATGCCACATCCTCCAAACCCAATAGGATCCTACAGCAATTCTCCTCTCACGCACACATGAAATATTTAATCAAAGCCAGCCAGTCCCAGAACAAACCTCTTTCTGAGCCATCAGGAAACCATCCAGTGCTGATAGGAAGGGAAAGCAGGCCGATTATATGCCAGTACTGAAGGGCTGGCAGCAGGAAAGGATTAAAACACTAGATTACAGGATTCTCTCTGGGGACACATGTTACGATAACTCATTCCCTGACCACCAGCCAATCACCACTCCCTGCGGCCTGAAACACTCTACTTATGTGAGGTTTGATCAATGCCGCTCTCAGAACGTTAATATAATTTGAGACTGATTGGTGAGAAGCCCAGGTGGGGAGCAACAAGTGTACTTGCCAAAAATACAGAGAAAGTAACAAGTATACAGGAAAGCTACTCAAACCCAATGGACCAAGTCACTAGGACTGCCAAGTTTGAACATTAAAAACAGACTTGAGAGAATTAACTTATTTCAAAGTAAAAATATAAGTTTCCCCCTCCTTGAATCAGAATATTAGGGTTGAAAACAAAGGGATTTAGTTTGATAAAAAGAACTAAAAAGCAGACTCATTTATCATACTATTCATGTACACTGGTACACAGCAGCAGCAGAGTAGCTGAAGCAGAGAATGCCTGGAGGCAACGTTAAGGGGGCAGGGGAGGCACAACCCTTAAGAGTTGTTCTAACAAACGAGATGCTACACATGCTTGAAGCCTGATGCTGTTCAGTCTCAACCCTTGCTACCATTAGTGACCACGAGATTATACTAGTATCTTAGAAAAGACCCCCTACCCCCACCCCAGTTTGTATCAGTTTATAACAGAAGTTCTCAACCTTTCCCTCCTACGACCCCACACAATGTTCCTCCCGAGAATCCTTTCCCCCATTCCCATGGTGCTGCAGGGAAGGAACTGTAGGAACTGGCACAATGGTTTATGGTGGCACCTGAAGGCCAGATATTTCCGTGCCAGCTCTGCTTCAGCAGAACACCAGATAGGGCGAATAGAGAATCATGACTCCTCCAAACAAGTGTTGGTGGCTCCCTCACGCGTCCCAAACCACACGTCAAGAAGCACCTATGTACATGTGTAACACTGGAGCAGGAGATTCAGTGAGCTCCATGCACAGTGTAAGGGTTATTTCGCATGTACTCACCAGTCTGTAGAGTCTGCTTTCCCCCTGAGAGGACTCCCAGGGGCAGAGTACCTGTGGGAGTCAGGCCCTTGAGAGTCAGCACGCTCTCACTCTCCTCTCTGGAAAAAGGATGCAGAAGGATGGATTACTCTTACCAAAGCCAGCATTTAGGCAAGAGGGTTACAGCCAGAGGCATGATCACTAAAATATTCCTTCCCTCATAGGGAAATGCTACATACTTACCTTTGGGTAACCCTCAAGCCTAGGTCTGTACTATCTTGGCAGTAAACTGTTGAAGGTGATCCAAACAGCTTACATTTGATGTCTTTTTCTATCAGGAAGTTTAATACAACCTTGTAAGTTGAGGTGCTCTGTTTACTAGGATGATGTGCAGCAAAGCCAACATCAAGGCCATCACTGCCCCAATATACCTCTACCCCGATATAACACGAATGAGGATATAACGCAGTAAAGCAGTGCTCCAGAGGGGGGGGGGGCGCATTCCGGAGGATCAAAGCAAGTTTGATATAACGCGATTTCACCTATAACGCAGTAAGATTTTTTGGCTCCCGAGGACAGTGTTATATCGGGGTAGAGATGTACTTCCTTGTTTACATGAAATGCATCTCTGATCTGGAGGGATCCCTACTATAGGTCTAATCTTCTCTGTTTATGAGGATGCTAGCTTTGATGGGATGGAGGTTTTTGTAGTACCCGAAGAACAGGACTGACCATCAGCTTTGCAGCACCAGACACAGATACATGGGAGCAATTTTCCCAAACCCAGACCCCCCATTTTGATATAGTTTTGCAGTCTCTCTCAGCTGGATTCCTGCCTGCATACTACTAACTTCACTCATACAGGTCAGACAGAAGAGCAACCCCCAGTACCCAGATTGCACATTAAGCTCAGACACAAAACACTCCCACGTTGCCTTCTTACCGGAGAACTGAAAAAACACGCGCCATCTTCCCAATGGCTCTGATCTTATTCCTGATTATCTCCTTACGGACTGTCGTGCCTGCTTTGAAAGAAAAAAATTGTGTAAGAATTTCCTGCCCCCCTTTTAAAGCCACAGGTAATGTCAGTATGCACCATCTGTCTGGCTCTAGAAAAGAGAAATCATGGATTACAAATTCACAGCTATGTTCTCTAGAAAACAGTCTATTTGGAGGGGGTAGGAATGGAAATGAGGATGGTGACACTGACAAAATGACACAGAATAAAGGTCTAAGGAAAGAGTAGAACCACCAGAAGAATGGATCACACACTTCTTGCTTGAAGCAGCAGATCTTTACTCGACAGGTCAGATCACACTACACAGAATGTAACAAAAATGACTCAGCCATGTAGACAGCTTGGTAAGGCAGACAACGGACAAATCTGACTGCTGATGAATACCTTGGAATGCTGGGCTGTGCTTGCAGAAGAGAGAGTGGTCACACAAGCATCACCTCTGGCATAAACACACACAGTGAATGGCTGGCTGGAGCCTTGCAACTCTGCTTTGACCCTCGCTCAAACACAGCGAGGTAGATGTACTCCCCTTTTATTACACACACTGGGAGAAAAGCATGGAAGGTGATTGATGATAAAATAGGATAGACATCTCCTCTCAGCTCAGACTCTTCAAATGGCACTATCACACATTAGAACAGTACAAGCCACATTGGAGATCGAACATGCACCAATGGTTCTGCCATGCACTAGGTGGCTGCATTAGGAAGTCAAATAGAAATGTGACCCCATCTCAAGTTCCTAGAGGAACGCAGCAGGGTTAAAAAACACACAGCGCTTCTGTTAAAGCTGAAAGGGGGATGGAGAGCCTCCCCAACTAGTCAGCTATTCAAATCCACTCCAAGGAATCTGCTGGCACAGGCAGTGAGAATTAAGCTTGTAGCAAATTCTAGCGGGGTACCTTTCTGATAGCTTGAAATGTAGTGATCTTCAGGGAGAGGAGACACCAAGAAACAAGGAAATGAAGACAGAGATAGAAGAAACAAATTTAATTTTCATGGGAGGGAGGGGGAAAAAAATAATCAAAAATGAAATTCAATGGGAGAAGCGGGTTAAAGTCTTGACCTGTTGATAGAAGTGGCACCTGGTTACATTATACCTCTCCTACTACTTCCATGCCGCATTTACTTTATTTTCTCTCAATACTTTTCCATTTATCAAAATGTATGTAGTGCCCCACCTGCATTCAGCTTCCTTCACACATCATCACTTCAAAAATCACTAATCAGGACCAAATAATTGGCTGCTATTTCTGGAGCTAGTATGAAAAGGAAGAACAAATTGGCCCAGTGCTTGAGTGTTAAAAGTTTAGATCTAGCAGGGCAGAGTAGCAGCGGAGAGACGGTCTACACAGTAAATTGGGTAATAATGTTTGAGTGAGAAAAAACAACAAGGGGAATAGTCCCATGACCTGGTAATACCAGGAAATCACTCTTCAGAATATCTAGTGCAGGGGTAGGCAACCTTTCAGAAGTGGTGTGACGAGTCTTCATTTATTCACTCTAATTTAAGGTTTTGCGTGCCGGTAATACATTTTAACGTTTTTAGAAGATCTCTTTCTATAAGTCTATATGATATAACTAAACTATTGTATGTAAAGTAAACAAGGTTTTCAAAATGTTTAAGAAGTGTCGTTTAAAATTAAATTAAAATGCTGATCTTACGCCGCCAACCTGCTCAGCTTGCTGCCAGCCTGGGGTTCTGTTCACCTAGGCCGGCAGTGGGCCGAGTAGGGCCTGCGGTCGAGACCCCAGACCTGGGGGTGGGTGTTTCAGGGGTCAGGGAAGAGGGCTGGGGGAGGGGGTGTAGGGCAGAAGGCTGGGTGTGTGTTGGGGTGTGGGGGGTTCAAGGCAGAGGGCTGGGGATATGGGGGTGCAGGGCAGAAGGCTGAGTATGTGTGAGGGGTTCAGGGCAGAGGGATGGGGCTGTGGGGGTGCCGGGCAGAGGGATGGGTGTGTGTTGGGGTGGGGTGGGGGTTCAGGGCATAGGGGTGGGGTGCTCGGCTCGTGGAGTGGCTCAGGTCAGGGGGCTGGAAGGGATATGCCCTGTTCCATCCTCTTCCCCCCAGGCTCCATCCCTACCTCTCTCTGCGTCCTCTACAGGAGCTGTGTGCATGCTGCTGCTCTTCCCCCTCCCCCTTGCTAGGGCCATCAGCTGATTGGTGTAGGGAAGGAGAGGACGAGGGGCCGGAAAGCACAGCTGGGAGAAGAAGAGGGGGAGTGAGGAAGCTTGGCTGCCGCAGAACCAAGCTTCTGCCTCCTGCCCCCGAAGGGGAGAGCGGTGGGAGGGTGGCTGAGTGGGGTTGGGGGCTGGGACTGCAGCAGGGAGCTGCGTGCCACTTAAAATTGGCTCGCATGCCATGATTGGCACGTGTGCCGTAGGTTGCCAACCCCTGTATTAGATAATCTTCTATCAGAACTATAGGCCTCTATTGGTCTGTTAGAGAGTTTGATAAGCAACAGAACAGTACTGATTCCATCCCGTAAAGGACAGTGTTATACATTCACACTAGCCAATTCCTGGTCTGATTGGGTACAGTGAATATAATCATTTCAGTGGTATGTATTTCAATATATTCTGCAACTTCACTCCAAAACTGTCCTTATTCACCATGAAGCTTGACATACTGTCACTTCTTTCCCTGAAGGAAATGATTGTTCGAGCCTTTATGGAAGAATACAAATATACACTTATTTCTGAATGTAAAACAAACTAGAAAATTATTATTCCCAGCCCTCTTCTAGGATAGACCTGGATCTTCACATACCATGGCTTACATTTTTATTTCCAAGTTTATTGACTCTTAATCACTCTACTTATTAAGTAGCCCTGCCATGAGTGCAGAGGCCTTGATTAGATGACCTATTGAGGTCGCTTCCAGTCCTATACTTCTATGATTCTACGAATGCAAAGGACAGTTAACTTGAGTTTGTTCAATGCCATGAATATACTGATGTGTTTTCTTAGGGACTCACACTAGCTCTCCACCGAAATTTTGCAGCAATATAACTATTTTGTTAGTGGTGTGTTTTTGTTATGGAAATAGTTCTACAGGTAGGGTACAACCTCTAGTGCGGACGCAGTTTACCAACATAAAGGTGCCTTGTACTGGTATAGCTTATTCCACTTTCCCTAGGGGGATGCACTACACTAATATATCAGTATAATTGTGTCTAGTCAGTGTAGATGAGTGGCCCCCTCAGGGCATTCCCTGGAGGCCTTAGAGCAGCCCAGAATGCAGCCCCTCACCTCAGTTTTCCATCTTCATTCCCCAAATAAACTCATCACCATTTTTTTCCAGTCCAGTCACAACAGTCCCTATTTAGGTTTCATTTCTTAACTTAAAGTTCAAAACTAAACCCAGAAGTCTTCCCTCCAGCTGCATACAGCCAAACTCCCCCTGTCTGGTCTGAGTCTTTCCTTGCTGCCTTAGCAGGCTACTCCCAGCTCTTCCTAACTGGAGCAATTCCCCCAGGGTTTTCCCTCACCCACTTTCTGAAGTTTCACTTAAGCCTCCTGAGCTTTGCTCTTAGCCCTTGTCTACACTACAAATTTAAGCTGACTTAAGTTACGTTGACATATAGCCACCGCTATAATTAAACCACTGTTGCATGTCCACACTATGCTCCTACTATCGGCAGAGCGGCATCCACACTAGCAGCTCTTGCATAGACACAGAGAGCAGTGCAGCATGAGTAGCTATCCCACTGTGGAACTGGCTGCAGGGTGCTTTGGGAAGGGTTTGCAATGCCTCATGGGGGCAGGTGCAGCGTCACATGATGCAGGTTTCTCGTTCCATGGGCATCCTATTAGATTACCAGCCGCTTTTCAACTGCTCTGATAACCTGCACCCCAGCCATCTCTGTCAGAAAGCAGGATCCTACACTGCTATTCAGTATTGTGCTGTGCATTGTGAACACAAGTCTATAAGAGGGGCTCAGCGAGGGGGCTATTCAGCTGAGGGATGCCTGGAAGGAGCATTTTAACACTGAGCCACAGTGATGTGTGTGGCTGTAGTGTGCTGAGCCTGGCAGTGTTTGTTTGCACCTGCTATGAACCTTGAAATGATTGAAGTGTGTGCCCCAAAAGTAACACCTTTTAAATCACTTTTTAAAAGTAGCACTCGGTAATCTGAGTGCTGAGCTGAGCACTAACACAAGAAGCCCACAGAAGTGTGTGTGTGGGAGGGAAGATTGTGTGTGTATGAGTGAGAGAGAGAAAGAGACCAAGTGTGAGTTGGTGAAGTGTGTGTGTTGGGGGAGGGGAGGGTATGTGTGTGTGTGAGTGAGAGAGAGAGAGAGACAGAATGTGAGTTGGGGAAGTGTGTGTGTTGGGGCAGAGTGAGTGTGTCACATGCTGTCTCTTTAAGCATAGCACTCACCAGCCTGAACACTTGCTCAGACAGCAGCCAGAAACAACCAATCCAGGTGCCCCCCGGTCCCCACATCCCAGCTCAGCGGAGACCAGTACCCCACTGGGGGAGGGGAACACCCCGACATCAGCCCCCGCCTCCCTCCCTAGCTCTGCAGTGCACATATTTCCCTCCCCCACCCCCCACAGCAGCCCACCCTATCTGCCTGCCGCTGTGGCCCTAGTGCCAGCAAGAGCAGGATTCTATGATTCCCTTCCAGTTCTCTCACAGGAGTTGAAAATGGTGAGCAGAGCGGTCAGAATGGGCATTGTGGGATACCTCTGGAGGCCAGTTTCAGTGATGTAACTACACCTCTACACCTCTCCTTGAGGTGGTTTTCGTTATTCGGCAAAGCAGAAGAGTTGTGTCGGCGGTATTGCCGTGTGTACACCACCACTGTTTTGTCGATAAAAAGCTGCCTTTTGTCTACAAATCTCCGTAGTGTAGAAAAGGCCTTACTCTAGCCCAGTGGCTCTCATCCTTTCTAGACTACTATACCCCTTTCACGAGTCTGATTGGTCTTGCATATCCCAAATTTCACGTCACTTAGGGTATGTCTACACTACGAGAGTAGTTCAATTGTACTTAAATTGAATATGTGGAATCAAACGTGTGTATCCACACTAAGGACGGTAATTCGACTTTGTGAGTCCACACTAACGAGGCAAGCGTCGACATTGGAAGTGGTGCACTGTGGGCAGCTATCCCACAGTTCCCGCAGTCCCCACTGCCCACTGGAATTCTGGGTCGAGTCCTCAATGTCTGCTGGGGAAAAAAATGTGTCGAGAGTGGTTTTGGGTAACTGTTATCATTCAACCGTCACTCCCGCCCTCCCTCCCTGAAAGCGCCGGTGGGCAATCAGTTCGCGGACTTTTCTGGTGAGTGACAGCG